TCAGTTTCAAAAACTAAATTAATTAATTAAATAAATTATAGCAAACACAGTAAACTCCCGGATCCGGGAGTAAAATCAAGTAAAATCTTGATTTGTGAGCATAATTTATTCTGGAAACAGACTTGTAATCCAAATCACTTGTATATCAAAGTGAATTTCAAGAACCATTGGCTTACTTGTGATCATGTGATGTTTGGTGCCATGTACTACCCATATTGTGAGACATCACTCATTTATCAAGTTAAAATTCATTAGAAATGCTTGCTCGTCTTGCAGAACACTTGCAGAACAAGTTACTCACAGTCCACTTACCTTCACACTTACCTTCACACTGAAGGATGTACATAATTTAAAATTTTAAATTATATGTAAGGAAAGAACATAGGTTTCGGAATCAGTTAAGCCTATATTTGAGTCCTTGCTTTATCACTTAAACTAAGTGACTTTGGGGAAGAAGGAACCTGATTTTTTCAACTGGTTTCCTCACATGTATAAAAAGAACCTTAGAATTTGTAGAAGAATGAGTTTAAATACTGTATGTAAGCTATATAAAATGTATGGTATACAATAGAGGCTTGCTAATGGTAATCACTTTCATTCATCACTTTACCTATTAGCTTCCTCTCCAAGTTTTTTTTTAATACTTCCAGTATGTCTCTTACTTTTACCTATGTTTGTTTGTTTTTTACCATACCCATCTTATTTTAACTGTTCTGCAAATATTCACTGGTAATTCTTATAGTGCAAGGTACTATGCCATGTGCTGTGAGATGTACAAGACTCTACCTCTGTCCTAGACAAGAAAATAAGACCGGGAAACAGTATTGCAGTAGGAAACAAGTGATTAGTAGCACTGCAGTGTTACCCACTAAAGGTTATTGGTAAGATGGTCCTTTGGAGAATACCAAAGACTCCTAAGGAGAAGCAACTTTTAAGCTATGCTTTGGAGGTATTTCAGAAGAAAAAAAAAAAAAAAACAGCAAAATACAGGTAGAAAAGAAAACCAACGAACAAGAGAGTTAGAATAGTTTATACATTGTCATGCTAATGATTTTGGACTCACCAAGTAAACAATGGGAAAGCAGTGAAGATTTTTGTTGTTCAAGGAAAGTATACTCATTGCAATAGTATCTAGATTAATAATTCCATATAATATCCTTCTGTGTAAAGCATACTGTCTAAAAATCAATTGATTGAAAATTAATGTATATGTGACATTTCTGAATTTCCTGTAGCCAGTCTATAAGTCAAGCCTAAGCACCACTGAGCAGAAGATTAAAGGCTCATGGAGTCAAAGAATGATAAATTCAATGGAAGACATCGCTTCTGTCTGATTCCCGGCAGTACACATATTTGATGACTTCCTGCCTTCTTTTTAATGTTGAAAAGAGTTCTTACAGCAATAATCTACAAATTAAGAGAAACTCATTCAGCCTGTCAAAAAATTAAATGTTGAATATCCCTAAGTATCTAGCCAGATATTTTACTAATACTTGCTATAAAGAGTGAACAGTTTTTCATCACCTTTTTTCCTTCTTCATTCTAGAAAAATAACTTCACAAGTTTAAAAGATACATATGTATATTCATATATGTATATGTGTATATGCATGTATATGAAAACAAAATTATTATGCAAGGGTAAATGCCTTGTTATGAAGAAAAGAAATGAAAATAATCTTGCCATGTGTTGAGGGAGAAAGGTAATTGGCTTAGTGGGAATTTTATTTGACTTTTTCCTTTTCCATTCTGAATAACTAGTAAGTAGGGAGGGCCAAGTTTTTCCTAGTTGGAACCTGGATCTGGTTGAAATAATATAATTAAATATATTTTAATTTATATCATGGCTTAGATCATTGGTTTTAATAATACCTAATAAAATAAATAGAGCCATTGCTTTATAAAATAGTAAAGAATACTGTATGCTATTTTTAAAATGTATTTGGCTATAACAGATAATTTCAACTTAGATACATATAGTGTGAATTGTGTTTCATCCTTTCTTTTTAGGGATTAGTGTTCCCAAATACCAGGAGCAATTTAGCATCTTCTCTTTATTGTATGTTTTAAAAAGCTACAATGTACAGAGAGCTAACCAACTCAATATTTCAAAATTCCACTACTCAGACTGTAGTATTTATTCCTTATCAAAATGTCTTGAATATTCTCTTGGGCCACAAAAAGTGAACAAAATATTTTGAGCCAAAGATGTACATAGATTCCAGTTCAAATTGTGTTTTATAAATTATATCACTTAGCTTTATTAATAGCTCTCATGACAAGCTACCTTTCCTTAAATATTTTTGCATTGAATGGTGAGCTCTACCAGACAGGTGAGAAAGAAATTTAGCTCAGGAGAAAAGTGAAATAGTTGCTGTGTGTATAAGATGGGAACACAGAAATTTGAAAGTTGGGGGAGAAAAGTGAGTTAAATGGTTATTTATCTCTATGTTGTCAAAAGCTCAATTAAAGGAAAGAAAAACTTCAAAGAATCAATTAACAAGATATTATGAAGACTATGAGATTATAATGTGGAGTTAAATATTCTTCA